AAATATTCTTTGTGACCCTCCCGCGAAGTTTCTGATCCGTATAGAAGAGCTGACTGACTCGACGTTTGTATTGAAAATCCGACCGAATTTTGTTGTTGATGCTGAGTTGAGTGACGAAGATTTCCAGATTGGTTTCAGGTTGATGAATGTGTTTCTCGCCTTCTCATTAAAATGCTTCAAAACATAACAGTTTCTAAATTATGTTTGCCATAATTGTCCAATTGTAATTGATAAAATTTTTTCTAAATGAAAAAGAAACATCAAAGAATTTTTTATGTGCGTTTAGAAGCACATAACAATCAGCCTCCATCATCTTTCTCAATGGAGGGATAGTATCATACAGTTTTATTAGGTTAGTTGTTTAAATATATCGAAATGAGAATAATGTCATTTCTTTTGAATGCCTAAAATACATAAAATATACATTACAGAGGCCTACAGTTTGTTTTTGTGAAGATCTATGTAAAGTTTACTTGCAATTCATAGGTCGGAACACATTCAGCAACATCTATCGGGTCCCAGTGGCTTAATGGTATACGAGCTCACTAGCCTTGTAACTAGAAGGTCTGGGTTCGAATCCCGGTGGGCGCGTACTGATGAAGAGCCCCAAACTAGGATGAAACAGCTGGCTGTTCAGTACTCCCAGGTTTTCCAATGGTTGGCTCTTTAAGTAATGTCAGCTCATGATGAAATCCTGTAACCAATCAAATCCTTACAAATCAACACTTGAATCTATCTTTTATGTTGGAGAGAAAGAACAATTTTATTCAAATAATTTAAATGACTAAATACTCATACAATATTAGTTTCTAAGTTATGTAACTAAAAGTCAGTGAAATTGACCAGTGGTTATGTATTTAGATAATTTGTGCGCCAAATAATGTTTTGTAATATAAGCTGTCAGTGTACGGAATACATTTTATGTGATATTTATCCGTTTATTGTGCTATAACAATTTTAGAAATTATGTATTTAAATTTCTTTTATTTACTTTGTATCCCTTATTTTAAATAAACTGGTGTAGTTAGAGGTATAACACCAGTTTTTAGTCTCATCGACTTTGTTTTGTTCACAGAAAATGTCTATCCTGAGTGAAGACGTATTTTTTTCACCATTTTGGTATATTCTACTTCCTGAAATTCAGATTTTAAATCATTCGTATCAGTGCATTACATCAGAGGTCATTTGCCTTTGTCGTTTCCTTTCTCAAGAATTACATATTGGGAAATGACAAAATGAGAGAAGAAATATATTCTTTTTGAATAATTCTTCATTAGTAGCGCTGCGGTATTACAAAAAATCAAAATTCTAACAGTCATAAGCATTAGCTGTAAGACACTATCTATTTTAAGCTGTGAAAGGGCAAATATTACTCATGGGAATCGTGATAACGGTTAAATAGTAAGACCTTCTATTATAACACAGTATGAGTACATAATTCCTATATGATATGAATTACAACCCATAAGTCAGCAAAGACGTCACTTTTCATAGTTCCTCATTAACACCTTACAGTTATATGTCAACGTTAATTGACAACAAGGATTCGCAGTTAATGTTAGTTAGCATTGTAATAGAAGAAAACTAGAGAATTGGTAATTATTATTATTTGATTATTTCCCTTAATTACTAAAGGAACATAGGGCTTCAGCCGCGCATCTCCATTGCGTTTGCTTCTCTGCTAGAGTTTTCACCTGGCTCCAAGTCTGCCCACATGCTTTCATCTCCTCTTCACATGACCTCCTCCTCCATGTCACCCTTGGACGACCAACTCGCCGCTTCCCTTTCGGGTTTTACTCGAGCAATGGCTTGTCTAGTGATGTCATTTGATGGTTTCCTCAGAGTATAACCAATTCACCTCCATTTCTTCCTACATATACAATGCGCATTCGGTTCCTGATGGGTTGGTTCGCTCCCAAGATCCCTGTTGCTGATCTTTTCTGGCTGGCCATCTGATCTTGAGTATGGAGCGAAGACAGCTGTTAATGAAGGTCTGTAGTTTGTTTGAGATGCTCTTTATGACGCGCCAAGCCTCTGATCCATATAATCAGTAGCACTGACTTCACATTGGAGTTGAAGATCCGGATCTTATCTTTCATGCTGAGTGCTGTTGACCTCCACATAGACTTGAGAATAATGAAAGCTTGTCCGATCCTTGCTTTGATATCCTCGTCAGTTCCGTTCGCCTGTAGTTGAAATGATGCTTCCCAGGTAGGTAAAGGAGGCGTCATCAAGTCCGCTGTTGTCTCTGGGTCCATTTTCAATGCTTCTGCTGGGATTCCATCTGGTCCTGTTGCTTTTCCAGCTTTCACCATTTTGATTGCGTTCAGGACTTCTGATTTCGTTGAAGGGGGGTTGATGTTCACTGGTAGTTCTGCTTCTGTTGTTGATATTGTTGGGCGCGTTGTAGGTGGCGGTCGATTTAGAAGTTTTTGAAGTATTCAGCTCAGTGTTTTCTTGGCTTCACTTCTTTGGTGATTGACTTTCCATTGTCATCCTTTACTGGTTCAATCTGTGTGGAACTTTTGCCGGATAGGTGTCTAGTTGTTTGGTATAGTGTGGCGAGGTCTCCTTTGCCTGCAGCTTGTTCTGCTTGACTTTCCATGGCTTCATAATATCTTCTTTAGTCTTCCCTGGCACTCTTCTTTACTCTTTTGCTCAGCGTATTGTAGCTTTCATTCAACTCCTGTTTTTGTTGCTCGTCGGTGCACTGGATAATCTTTTGTTTCACCATCCTTCTATCTTCTATTACTTTCCAAGTGTCCGATTCCCTATACAAACTCAAAATTGTTTTTTTTTTTCTTTTTCACATGCTTTTACAACTCTTAAGCTCTTAATGGCAATAACTTTATCCTTACTTGTTCGTAGTCTATGTAACCTGTCTAAAAAAGATAATCTTTATTATTTTGTTGAACTTCTACTACTATTTAACTACTACTTTGTGCATGTGAATTTTTCCAGACTGTTTACCATGTTGTGTTGAGTAAAGTGTTGTTATTCATAAAGGTATATTAATATGACTACTGCTATATATTACAGCCTACAGTTAATTATTTTCTAATAGGGTAAACTTGTATATTTATTTATATTTATCCAAATGGTAGTCTAGGTAGTTACGATCTTGTGGATAAACTTTTTTAATGACAATTAGCATGGAATTAATAACAGTGGTAGTTTTTATCAAACCAATAAAGTCGATTTTATCATATGATGAATTTCTTTTTCAGTGCTAATGGAATAATTTACAACTATAAAAGACTAATGTTTTCTAAAATTAATAAGTTATTTTTGTCCGTCTGTCATGGAAAAAATGTTACAACATGGACGCAAAGGTTCAGCCTTTAGCATTAAGTGATATGATTCTGGATTATATGCGTCTTTGGATTTGAAAGCATTCATTGATAATGCGTTTTACAAAGAGACTTTTGCCGTCTAATATTATTAGAATAAACTTAGTACACTGAATATACATCGTAGCTGTATATTCCAATATTTTTTATTATGCTCTGAAGTTTCTGTAGAAGTTTGATTGGTTTTGTGGTGTAGGATCGCTAGCCTTACGTCCAACCCTCCCTCTTTATCAGGAATTGGGACCAGTTAGAGAACTAGTGAGCTAGTAGACTAGTTTAGTTTTCTTTATCATATTCTTAATTGTAGTGAACTGGATTATGCGTCAGACTGTGCTTTGGGAGCAAGGAGACAGGAATACGCTGAACCACCGATAAGAAGGCTCCAGAAGATCTGGTTTTCGCAGATGATATATGTCTGATGTCACACAAACTCGAAGACTTGGAGGCGAATGCCAACAAACTGGCTGAAGAGGCAGCGAAGACAGGAATGCTGGTGAACACAAAGAAAACGGAGGCGATGAAGATAACCATCGAACAGCAACAAGAACAAGAACAACAACCGTCACCAACCACCATCAACGGGAAAGATTTGACAGAGGTTACTTCCTTCCCTTATCTAGGAAGCAGGTTTTAACCGCAGCTGGTGGAACGGATGAATATGTTAAAGCCAGCCAGACAGAATCGGAAAAGCAAGTTACACCTTCATCAACCTGAAACCAGTATGGAAATCTTCTGCACTCAGTCAGTATAAAGAAGAAGATTCAGATTTTCAACACCAATGTGAAGTCAGTCAGCTCTTCTGTATGGGTCAGAAACTTGCACTGCGCGTCACGAAAAGGATTTCCAACAGACGACTGAAGACTTTCATCAAAAGCTGCCTTTGCTGGCCTCATAGTGAACATCAAATGGCTGGTCAGAAAGAATTAGCAACAAGAAACTCTGACTGGGAACAAGTCAACGAAGAGCCGATTGCCCAACAAATATGTGGGAGAAAATAAAGATGATTAATAATACGTTGAGGAGGCCGTTGAGTGGCATCGCGCTCCAGGCTATCACTTGAATGGAATCCCATTGGGAAGTAACGAGTGGTTAGTCCGTGCGAGGATGACATGGAGGAGATAGTGTGAAAAGAGATGAGAGATTATGGGCGATCGTGGACCCAGCTGAAGAGGACGGCAGAAAATAGAATAAAGTAGAGATGTGTTGTTGAACCCCTTATGTTCCACTTGGAACTCAAGGGTATAGTAATAATAACAATAAATGTGTATTTCATTAAATTCCTTATTGCATCATAACCATTTTGTTTAGAAGAAGTACATTTTTCCCACTGTAGATAATTTCAAGTAATGTCATAAATAGTCCCCAACTGGTCTACACTGGTGAAACATTTTTAGTCAACCTTCCTCCAAAGCAATCTTACTTTAGCGTTAGCATTCCTGTTCTAAGAGGTGGTTACTTTGCTATTAGTACAAAAAGAGTTTACATAAATCCCAAGAAATATAATTTTTTTAATACCAATATAAAGATTGAATGTTTGATGTCAAGAATGCAAAATTACAATTTTTATTCTTCCTAATAAATTTCATTTATTTCTAATATATTCTTTCATCTGTATAAAACGATAGTAATTAAAATGTATTTAATTTTCAGGCATAATAAAACACAATGAATAAAGAATTATATGGTAAGTCAGTTGTTCTTAATACTTAACTTATGCTTTTGTGTTGTGTTGTGTGTCAGTCTGTTTTTTTTTGCAAGATATTTTTTTACTGAACTACTTTCTTCTTATGTATTTCATAAGGTAGTCTGTTGCAGATGGATAAAAAAAACATACAACAACAACTAGAGACTCCATTTTTTGTAAAGAGCGTATGTGTACACATTCAGCTATAGAATGAAAAAAAGACATCACATATGTATTTTAAGTAAGGTGCATGGGTAGTATTTTATTTTATACAGGTAATTTATGAAACAGATTATTTATAATTTATGTAGAGTCTAGACAGTAGTGGTTAACTTCAATTTGTTTAATTTATTAAAGTAGTTACCCAGGTAGTTACCTAGGTTTCCAGTGTGAAGTCGTGAACAGTAGAGTGCAGCAGTCGGGTGTGGGGACAAATACTCACCGAAGACATTGGCTAACGGTTGCGCTATATCGTGAATTGGCAGAAGTTAGAATTCACGGAGTGGCCATTGGATCTGGTCCCAGTGGCTTAATGGTCTACGAGCTGGCTTGCTTTGTAACCAGGAGGTCCTGGGTTCGAACCGTGGCGGTGGGTGCGTACTACTGAAGAGTCCCAAACTAGGAGGGGAGAAACAGCTGTTCAGTACTCCCTGCTGGTTTTCCAATGGTTCTATAACCAGTGTCAACTCATGATGAAATCCTGTAACTAAAGTAGAATTTGTTGGAGGATTTCATCATTAGCTGACATCGGTTACAGAACCATTGGAAAACCTGGGAGTAATGGACAACTGTTTTGTTCTAGTTTAGGACTCTCCTTCCAACCAATCGAATAAATCTCTACAAAACTAATACTTGAAAAAAACATCACAGTATTTATCAAAACCACATTTAGAAAATTAATTTGCAATTTATACAGTTCAAGGTCAGATCTCACTACAATTTCCTTTGGAAATCAAAATTATTCAGACCAGATTATGGGATCTGGTAGATATGATGAATGGTAATCAAGAAAGCGAGCACACTTACATAAGATTATATACTAGTGCTTGAGTAAGATGTGTAATTTTATACCCTTCACAACAGACGGTAGTACTTGTTAACCAGGTAGAAGTGACCTAAATACAGAACGGCTGTTTCACTCGTTTGGGACTGGGTTCATCGGTGGTGTAGTCAATTTGACTCAGCTCAGAGAGCTAAATTAGCTCAAACTATCCGACATCTGGCTAGCTGCTACTTAGGCGAACTGGTAACGCCATTAATCAAAACTGTAATTCGCAAATTAATTTGCAGCTTGCAGTTCTACTGGTTGGTATGAGTGGTACACAACTACACTTCTTAATCAATCAGTAGTGTGCAGTTTTCTGCATTTACACGGTATTCCACCTAGAAGCTAAGTAGATTCCTTCCAAACCGTTTATTTTTTCTTTACTTCTCTAGTTGCCTGGTAATATTTGTTAGTGTATATATCAGTAAAAGAGTTGAATTAAGATACTGTGGTAGAATATAACTCAATATATTGGTAATATTTATTTGATATAACACAATATGATACATCCCTAATAATGGATGACGTTTCGAGGACAGATTTGATTGCGCATAGTGATATCCGTGTATCTACACGACTTCTGAACTTGTTTTAATCTATCCTATTTTTTAATGTAATTTCTCATATATGTGAAATAAGTGTTGTTATTGCTGTCGCATGTATTTTGATGCTGATTTGATGAACCGCGATCCAGTGGTTAACTCCTCTGTTCACCTAATAGTATTACTTTTTAATACTTTTACCCTATCCTACCATATTGTGTAACTACATGCATTTACATGCGTTGTAGTAGTCAGGCCTTCTCCTAAATTACATAACTTATCACGGTCAGTCATTTTAAACATGGCTTACTTTCTATGTTATGATAACCTTAATGACACTGGTTTAATAGTTTGACCTATGTAATTGGTCTCACAGTCATTAAATGGTATTTGGTAAAGTATTGGAAAGATGAAGTAAGTTGGACTCTTAAAAAGAAAATTTTTTTCCTTCACATTCCCAGTGGAACATAGGGATTCAAGCTAGAGGCTTGAAGTTTCTGTAGCAGTGTTTATTTTACAGGATGGGGTTGCTAGCCTCATGCCCAACCTTTCCTCTTTACCAGCATTATTTCCAGCTTAGCAAGGTAAAGGAGTGCGTCAGTGGCCGGGGATCGAATCCCAGACCATGTGTATGGTCGGCGAGCGTCCTAACCGCTGTGCCACCGATGCACCTTAAAAAGAAATTGGAAACATTTATTGCAGGTAAGAAATTTAAAACAAGCAACAAAAAATAACAATGCAAGATTTCATGAATTCATCAAATTTCGTTAGAACTTTTCAGCTGAGTTCTCTACATAAGGAAAAACGTGACTAGTGAAACAACTGCAGGGTAGCACACATAGCAAAACGGTGAAAATGTTTTACAGATAACGTTTAGATAAACATGGATCAGAAGGGTATGATAGGTTGAAAATTAAAATTGTGATGGATTACGGTGGCATAGTCTTTAGGACGCTCGTCGACCATACACATGGTCTGGGATTCAATCCCCGGCCACTGACGCACTCCTTTACCTTGCTAAGCTGGAAATAATGCTGGTAAAGAGGAAAGGTTGGGCATGAGGCTAGCAACCCCATCCTGTAAAATAAACACTGCTACAGAAACTTCAAGCCACTAGCTTGAAGCGCTATGTTCCACTGGGGAACGTGAAGGAATAAAAGAAAGGTTCATTCACCTAATTATAATAAACAATTAGTTTTCGGGGAGAGAAACTGGAAATATTAGGAATCGGAGAATATCAATGATTGCGCTAAAACACATATTTCACTGAGACAGTATTAATAATAAGAGACGGAATAAAATAAAATGCTAATGATAACGGATAAAAAAGTGAAAGATATTACCATTGCAGATCGAAGTGATTACACAAAGACCCTGGTTTGGCAAGACTCTGCAACTGCAAGCAACTTGATGAGTTTCTTACCTGTTGACAAAAGTAAATAACTTGTCAACATTGATGTCAAATCAGTAGTCTATGTGCTTTATTAGTGAACCTTTTGGTACTTTGACTTCAGCGTGTTTTTTTCAACACGTCGGTGAATGCTCAACTATGCGAGTGGAATGTTGCATCTCTGGACCACCTTCCACAAATACAATTAAACATTTAAATGCATTTAGGAGCGTCAAAGATTGACGATAAGTCTTCATGAGACTGTTGAAATACCTGTTTGATGGAACTGAGAAATGTGAGCTTTGAAGCATAGTAAGTCCTTCTTATACGGTTACTTAACTCCTCGTTTGATCACTTCTTGTACATCATCTTCTTTAAACGGCAAACTAATATTCACAGCCTTCTCTGAAACGGTATGGATAGTTTTATTGACTACTATTTCTTTAGACTGCCTATTAATAAACCTTTCAGGATAATCATTTTTAAATAAAATGTCCCTCAGTATCTTTTATTTTCGTATTTTATTGTACTGCCAAAACAATTTTTCGTACTCCACTGAACAATGATCTGGTTAGATTCCTGAATGAGAAGAAACCTCTTCAAGTGTATATACTCTCTTGTGGATGAAGGTTTTCTAGATATGCATCTTTCCTTTATGCCATCAACTCTTCTCTCCAGAGAAACGTCTCGGGCTCCAACAGCCTCGTTTTCTTCTTGTAAAGTTAAGATTTAAATGGCATGATACGAGTTCCGTCAATACGTTTTCTGCTTTTGACTTTCTCTCACAGACAATAAAAATCTTATGCCAAATTATGGGCTTGAAAAGAAAATATCCTTAAAAATAGTATTATAAATAAGTGTGAAAAGAGAGAAGCTAAGAATCACATCTTTGCTCATCAAGTCAACACCAAATATATGCAACAACAATAACAAAACATCTGTCTTAAAGAAAACTGAATTTAACAACATAGCAATGTGGAATGTATATATCAGGTTGAACACCCTTTTATCATTGAATTCTTACGGTAGTCTTTGACATGACATAAACGTTCACCTTAGTGTTTCTATTTCTCTGGTCAATCTGCTTTTCAATAGTGGCGTCACAAGAGCCATTCATCTTGCTTGTTTTAAATAAGTTACGGCACTGAAGAGATATAGTCACAGGTATTTGTGTAATAACAACACAATAATTGAAATCAATTAACTGAATGATAACATATTGACAGTATAGTTAGGCAATCTTACATGCGTACATCTGACGACAAAAAAATGTTAACTATGCCCACTCAGAAATATTCCTATGTAGTTGGTACCTAGTGATAGTCATTGTAACTTATTAGTAAATGGGTGGTAATAAACCAATTATTAGGTTTATGATACTACTAGTTAGATTTTTAAATTATTTTTCTATTATCTAAGTCAACTGTTCCATGTTTGAATTTTTCAGCTGACACAGCTAGACAGTTACCATTATTTGATAGCTTTTTTCAATAAAAAACAAATATCACACACTTTTTCATTATCTTGTCAATAGAAATAAGCATAATAGGCTAAAAAAAAATATATATACTATGATTTTGCTTAAAATAAGTGAGTATATAATTTATTGGAAAACAAACTTGCCACAATTTCGCTTCAGTATACTTGAATCAGTAGAACGGAGCCGGGGGGGGGAGGGTCAGTTACAATTTGAATTCCCTGAGGTTGTCGATTTTATGTAATTTTGTGTTATGTGCTTAAAGGACCTTGAAGGAATTCATGTTTCTTCTCAGATTCAAACTCGCGTCACGCAATGCCGCAGTCAGAGACTTTACTACTGAGCTATTCGGGTTAGCGACTGACCTCCTGTGGGACTGTATTGGAAAGGACATGAGTCCCTTCAAGGCTGCAGATACGCCTTGCCGACTGGTGAGTGTTGACTAGCACAAAACCAAGGCCCAAGGCTTCCAGCGGATTGTTTCCAACAATCTAATGGAGCTGAATTATCTATTGCAGCATTTGCTGTACTATACTTCATGATAGC